TTCTCACTAGAACTCCAGGAATTACCTCAAGGAGCCAGTTACTAGTGAGCATATGATCATTATCACAAGGGGGTTCGAATCTCGCGAGAGCGGGTTCGTGGATGCGCATTGCTGAGGAGTCCCATAATAGGACGAAACGGCCGTCCAATGCTTCCAGGCTTTCCACGGTGGTCTATCTTCAATTGACTCACGATCATAACTATAAAACTTTACAGAGAAGTTTAGTTCTCCTTTCGTAAATGACCTATTTCAGATGTACTTAAGCTGTAATCGATGCAAAAGTCCACTGATTTAACACGTATTATTATGGATTTATAACTGCAGAGAACGATGAAGAAGCTATCGAATATGATAGTTCGTTCTGATATTCTTTGTATATATATATATATATATATATATATATATATATATATATGACTCAGCAGAATTATTTCAAGTGGTTAACAATGTAGAATAAAAGATTTTTTGAATTGAAGATTTACTTTAAATAATAAATATCAACAAATAATGATGTCCTCCACAGGATACCACTTCATTTATTCCTAGAAGATATAAAACTGTTTATAATTATAGGTGTACAGGTAATCTTAAAAAAAAGGTTTATTATATTAGACAATATATAATTTAAAATGACGATAAGAGGAAGTCGACTAAAATAGTCATGAACGTCATTTTTTTATTGTGCGTTACATACATTGACAATATGTTCGGAAATTTATATTTGAAAAGTGTGTTAATTAGAAGTATTGGGGATGACCTAATCGAATGCCAAAATACTTCTTCATGCAAATCAGTTTAATACATAAACAACGCATAGTATGCAATATTCAGTTAAACAAACCATATGGATGAAGTTGATTAGTTTAGTTATGGACTAAACTAAGTAGAGAGGAGATAGAACAATTTTTCAGTGTCTTCTTGTCCCTAATTTTTTCCCCAGTTGGCGTCATGCCGTATTGACAATTACCATCAAATTGTACAGAAATATACACATGATTTGTAAAGAATTGCTTTAGAAAAAGAACACAATGAAGAAATGTTTTGATGCACACAAGTATGGAAATTTATTGTATTGTAGATTACGTTAATATTTCCTGAAATTATAGCACTACTATCAACCTTAGTTTGATATACATCTTGATGAAGGAATACGGTAAGCCATTTGTCTTTCGCACCTACGATCAAGCTAAAACCGAACTCAGGATCTTGAGGTCTCACAACTTATACACTACTCAGACAGCCTACAATGGTATGCTATTCTAACTCCAGTCAATTAATGATATTCTACAATTGTCTTCATATGTCATTGATCAAGAACTCATTCACACTCGACGTGACAGAACTATACCTGAAGGTCCTAGATTAGATCTCCAGTGAGATCATTGATGTGTACTGTCTAGAAATCCAGTGTTAGGAAGAAATGTTAGTCCAATAAATTCTAATTTTCATTGGTTATCTAACTAAAGTTAATTTGTGATGTAATATATATATATATATATATATATATATATATATATATATCCTTGAGTTCTAGTGGGAAGCAGTGGCCAGTGGAGTTCTACCAGGTCTGTTGTAGAGATATCATCTCACTGAAGAAAATTGGTGAACGGTCGTTCAAAATCGTGGATTGGTTGAAGTTAGACATTAACACCATTGGATGCCGGCTCAGTGGTCTATCGGTTAAGGGCTCTGGCTCGTAACTGGTAGGTCCTGGGTTCGAATCTCGCGAGTGCGGGATCGTGGGTGCACACTGCTGAGGAGTCCCATAATAGGACGAGACGGTCGTCCAGTGCTTCCGGGTTTTCAATTTTGGTCTGTATTCTAGAATAGTTTAGAAATTCGCTCACAAAAACTGGACGAGATCAACTCCATAGAATACAGTCCTTGTATCAAACACATTACCTGTATCTATAAGAAGGATTCCACCTGTTATATTCCTGACTTCACTATAAAGTATAAACATCAACCAGTATTGTCTATGTTATCTGCATCTCTACCGAACACAGATTCTCACTGCAATATCAATAATTCCTCTTAAAGTTAATCATTATTAAATATATGGATAATTGTTTAATTGTGTTGATTAATTAATTACTTACTTATTTAGTCACTTGCTTACTTACTTACGCCTGTTATCCCCAACGGAGCATAGGCCGCCGACCAGCATTAAGTTTAAAGCTATTTTTCACTGAGAACTGACTTTCCTGTACAAAATTCGCTTTATAATAATATCTGTCATTTTAGGCTACACCTAAATAATTTAATTTTTCTATTTACCTTAACATTGGCAGACTGTTTAATCGCTTATCTATATTCCCATATCTAGTAAATACATAGAATTAACCTATAAAATTTCCCATCAATAATATTCTGTGATTTTGGACAAATTTTCAATGTACAAATAAATGGATAATTTTGTTGGCATGTGAACACTAAATTTTAATGGATATTTCAATATATGTATGCATTTTTTTACATTGTATACTTTACATAGTTGAGATCATGAGTCAATTGAAGCTAGACTACTATGGAATACCTGGAAGCACTGGACGGCCTTTTCGTCCTATTGACTCATGATCTTAACTATATAAAATAGCTAAAATCTCCACAAAACCCCCTTGTGATACATTGTTTATATTGTGTTTTATTTCATGCTTTAAACTTATTCGTGTTAAAACAAAGACGGAAGATGAATAACAGCAAATTGGCAAGAGATATATATTCTCAACAAAAATTAATTTATGAACGATGAATCGATAATAATAAAAGTTTAATGAAGAATGTTGATGGGCGGCCTATGCTCCTTCACGAAGGATAACAGACATAATTAAATAAGTAAACATGAATCTCGCGAGGCGATGTCGTGGATGCGCACTACTGAAGAATCCCACAGTAAGACGAAACGGCTGTCCAGTGGTTCCAGGTTTTCTTTGGTGGTCTAGCTTCAATTGACTCGTGCTTTCAACCATCAAAATGAAATGAATTCACCTCATTTTATCACATAATCAACCATATGAAAGCTAATTGATTTGATTAATTAAGCATATTTTTTAAAGAAAAAACAACTGCTTCATTCTAATTTAGGACCCCTTGGGAGTTCAAACTCAAGAATGCACTAGATGTCGAATGCGAAACTTTCAGGATCTATGACAATCGTAGTATTTTTAAACCAGTGAGTTAACATTTCCTTTAATAAATTGTTTACTTAGATAGTTATTCTCAGTCTATCAATTTTATACCGGTTTCATTATTATCCAAGTGCTTATTTAATTTCGTTAGTGTAATAAGAAGATGAAGATTATCAGAGCTACGTGATGATATATTAGCGCAATACATTTCGAACAATCTGATCACACATATACTTGTTAAGAACATTTATATATGAAAATAAAAGGTCAACTAGGCTGGAAATGGAGGGTAAGACCTTAAACCTACCCTGTTAATATTAGCTTATTATCCAGAGTGATTAGGTGTCAAATTGTTTTCAGATTATTTTTATCAATATTATCCTTGTCTATTTTTAACCCCCCATTGCCAGCCTAGTTAACCTTTTATTTTTATATATAAATGTTCTTAACAAGTACATTATGTGTGATCAGATTTTTCGAAATGTATTGCGCTAATATATCACATAGTTCTGATAATCTTCATCTTCTTATTACACTATCGAAGATCATCAGAGGGAGTAATTGCTTTAAATAGCTTATTTAATTGTATTTTCTTTTAAATTGAGTTAATATACGCAGTTATTAATGTAATAACAAATCATTTCGTTGCTATCTAAATTTAATTCTAGTTCTAAACTTAATCATTACTGACGGATTCGTTATGAGTTGATAGTGACTGATTTCTGTCTCATTTAATTTTTTCCCTCAGTCATCTGATCTAATCAGATTCATACCATAAAATTATTGATACTCTAAAGAATTAAATTAATTAGATCAATTCATGGGGGGTCTAAATTCAAAATGTGATTTTTTTTATGTCAATGATGTTTTTTGCCAGACTTAATTTGGATTTTTTGATTGAGATAATGAATCGATGGATATTGGACCACCATTGAAAATCTAGAAGCACTAGACGGCCGTTTCGCTCTATCATATGACTCCTCAGAAGTGCACATCCATGATTACGAACGTGGGACTCGGACACAAGACCTTTGGTTTCGTATGCGAACGCTTCACCTCTAGACCACTGAGCCGACATCCAACGGTTCTAATGTCTCACTTCAACCAATTTACGAAATCTCACGACCATCTTCCGTTGTCTGAAGTAGATATTTGTCTCTACCTGACACGGATTAGCTAATACTAGAACGAAACGGCCATCCAGTGTTTCCAGGTTTTCAATGATAGTTCAACATTCATCGACTCATAATCTCAATCAAAAACTTACCAATCTTCACAACACCATACTGTTAATTTGCATTTATTTATGATATTAAAAATACGATAAATACTTTTCTAACAAAATTTTCGTCGTAAAATCATTATTGTCTTAAATATTGGATTTAACCCAGGTCTCACCACTTGTTTTGTTGATTAATTCTCGATTTTTAATGTGATTGGTTATTTTCATTAAACTGATATTATAATAGGCGAATTAAAACAGAGGTCAATGAAATAGATTTCACCAATCCAGTTGTTATAAGAGTTTAAAGGTAGGGAGAATAAACACTACATTCAAATAACGTGCTTTTAATTCATTTTATGATTTTTCGTTTATACGACAGTTGTATTGTCTCAATTATGTTAGGATTCCTTAAATATAATTTGAAAGAACATGGTTAAAAGTTGTCATGAGAAACATTGTCAATGCCATCCGATTAATTGATTTCATGAACTTTCTCGATTAAATGTGGAACTTATCTAAATTGCTTTCGACATTTGGTCAATAAATGTATATTTACTGAATATTTGAAATTTAATAACTATTTTGAACCTTCTTTCATTGTTGACAAACAAAAACAAGATATCGTGAAATACTCTAATGATACATTGATGGCTTCAATTGATATTCCATTCTTTCATGGATCTAAAGATCGTAATGTATATGCTAATCCGGATGTTTATACTAGTGCTGGAGTTGTTGCCACCACATATTCACGATTTAAAACAAGCTTTTGGATTGATAGGATTTTACTCATTTTGACTGTATGTATCCCTCTTATTCAAGCATTTGTTCTCTTATTATTGCATGCTCTTCTGGGCGTTACTCGTTGTCTTCCAGATACAAAAGAAAATAAACTTGATTATTACACAATCACAAATACATTCATAGATCGTGCATGTGGTCTACAACTGACTACGGAAGTACTACAAGGAACAGTTAAACCATTACCAAATTCTTTTAAATCTTCAAGTCAATTTCATTCTGAATCAGAAGTAACTAATAAAGAAATAAGCACTATTCGTCTACAGCATGAATGTTATCCATTTGTTTTAATTATATATGCAATAGCAATGTGGATACCTCATTACTTATATCATCGCTCTACAGATCGAACTGCTAGACGTGATTTATGCTTAGTACGTGCTGAATTGCATAGTTTTAGAAGAGCTGTTACACAAGAACTTGCTTATTTACAAACACTTGCAACCGCATCAACTGATGTTGGTGCACCGACTGGAACTTTTTTATCACCTGCATCAACTATTCCAACAGGTCCTATAATACATCAAAATGGTTTATATTATCCTCATACTGGTATAGGATATAGTGGACAAAATGATGGAACTAGTGGACGTACAACTGCTGCAACATTCGGTGGTGGATCAGCTCTATCACAAACAACTGCACCAACTGTAATTCATGCACAACAACAATCTGCAACAATTGGTACAATTAGAGGGGGTGGTGGTGGTATTATTGACAGTCCAACACTTTCACCAGCTTTACCAATAAGTTTTGGTGATGCTGATTTATCAGCTCCAGGTTTATTAGATTTACCATGTTTTCATGCATGTCATGCAGATTGGTCATTGAATACATATTTAGCTGCATGGCAAAATACCGATTTCTATTGGTCAAGATATCTAACTAAACATATAGTATTATTAGTATTTCATGGATGTACTATATTATTTACTTTTATTATAATAGGTATTTATAAAGGTACACCATTTGCACCATTGTTTCTATGTCAAATTAATGAAAATCAACCACCACCTAAATTATTTATATGTATGTTACAAACAACCTTTATTGTAAATATGTCTATATTAAGTATAGGCTTTTTAAATTTAACTGGATTAATTTTACAAATGATATATTTCTATGAAAATTTTATTCATATATTTTGGTTATTTAATACAAATGGTAATTATATGGGTGTAACAACAAAACCGAATATTTTTTTAACTGGTGTTGATGAAAGTCGTCGATGTTTTTTTGCGGATTATATACGTTTATTAGCTTATACAGCATTCAAAGATACACATTGTGAAATACGTACATTAACTGTTAGTTATTCCCCATATTTATATTGTTCAGATTTTCATTTTCTTTCATTATTATGTAATGAAAATGCTTATTTATTTTCAGATTCTATACATATACATTATTGGACTGAACGTTATGCACGTTTATGTTGTAAACGTTTTCATCGACCATATTGGGCTATTCGACGTGGTAGTTTAGGACATTTAGTACGTTGTGAAGATTTATCAATGAAATTTAATTTTAGTAAAATTAAAATTCGTGTTGAAGTTAATGATTTTGGTTTTTGAAACAACCCCCCCTCCTCCCTCTAAAATCATTTTGTTTCTTCTCATCTACTTTTCTTTTTAAAGAAATTATCATCGCACAACATACATACACAAGGAGTTTTATCAAAAGCAAAATGTTATTTTATATCGCCTCTTTAAGATTTCCAAAAGTGGTTTAATATAACTATACTACTTATTGTATACATATTATTAATATATTGTATTTGTTTGTATTTTCTTTTTAAAGAAAGAACAAAGTATTAATTCCTCACATTTAGTTATGATACATATAGCTTCATGTATATTGGTTGTTGTATTCGAACATTAAACATTTTGTTCAATGTTCAATTTATAACTCAGGAAATTTCCATTCTCTATACAATCATGTATACTTACATTACATACACGTATAGATATACATTTATCAGCTGTATTCATTTGCTTATTTTATACAACTTTTGTTTGTTTGTTTTATTTGTTATTGTATTTTCTTTTTGTACATTTTCATATTCAAACAACACGAAAAAAAATAGGTATTAGGAATTTTCTCTTAATCCTGTTGTTTGATTACAGTCAACTAGTAATAATAATGATTTCGTTACAAATTGATCTACTAATCGTTTCTTTTAAAAATTATTTGACGCACGAGCGCTTAACCTCTAGACCACTGAGCTGGCATCCAACCGTGTTAATGTCTAATTTCAACTGATAGGTTCTAGGTTCGGATCTCGCGAGGCGGGATCAGGGATACGCACTGCTTAGAAGTCCCAAGATAGAACGAAACAGTCATCCAGTGCTTTCAGGTTTTCCATGGTGGTCTAGCTTCAATTGACTCATGATTTCAGCCCTAGATTTATAAATGTTGCGAAAAGTTTACACTAGCATAAAATTGCTAATATTTAATGTGAAAGAAACAAGTGATACTGTTTTTTTGTATTAACTGTACTTTAGGATGTATCCTATTTGATCAATGTTCAACCGATCTTTTTTTCGGCATACAAAAGATATTAGGGATTTGATGCATCAAGACAAGTTTGAGTATAACATACTTTCTGTTGAATTCTATTGTAATAGTTAAATGTTATCTTTACTGATACTTATAGTTTTGATCAGTCAAATGGTTAATAAGACTCAACTTATGATGAAACAATTTTTTCTAACATTGATGTAATAAAAATTACTTTTGGTCTGAACAAATAATGATAAAGCTGATCAATGTTTTGACCAATCTCTAGCTATGTAAGAGTTAATGAGACGCAGTTTATTCCTCAATCTAACTTATACTAACTCGATAGGCTGGATCAATCAGATATATCGGTTTAAGGTCAAATGATGAATGAGAGATGCAGGCCAGTACACACAACAGGTCAATCTCAAACTTAGTTATCCAACATACGCTATTAGTCGCAAATCTGAAACAAAAACAGACGAACTCTTCAGTCCTTTTTTCTTTCCAGTATATCACTAACTGAAAATAGTTGACAGTGGATACTGTTTTAAAATTAATGATATTCGATAGTGCAAAAATGTGGCCCTTTTTTTATGAAATGTTTTCTATTTTATTGCCTTATTAATTTAAGCGGTATTCGCTTATATGAAAATAATTTATCCTTTTTAGAGTGAAGTTATTAAGATCATTTCCTGTCCAATCGATTCATAGTCAGTCACCCGTTAATAGTATTCAGAAGTTAAGTGACCCGAGTTAACTGTTATGACAATTAAAAAAAGTATATAGATATAGTGTTCCAGAAAAGATTTGTATTGTATATGATTAGAAATCTTCATATTTTACCAATCAAATAATGTATTTTTATCAGAAGGGGGTTTTGTGGAGATTTTAGTAATTTCATAGTTGAATTCATGGGTCAATTAAAGCTAAACCACCATGGAAACCTTAAGACACTAGACGGCCGTTTCTTTCTAGTATATGACTCCTCAGCAGTGCGCACCCACGATCCCACCTCTCGAGATTCGAATCCAAGACCTATTGGTCTCGCGCGAGCCTTAACCTCTAGACCACTGAGCCGGCATCCAGTGGAATTATTGTCTCACTTCAACCAACCCACGAAATTGATCAATCGTCCATCATTGTGTTCAGTGAGTTACTATCTCACATCAGATCCGGTCGAACTTTGTTGATCACGGTTTCTCACTAGAACTCCTGGAAATACCTCTTGAAGCCAGTCACTAGTGAGCACATGATGATTATTATTCGCGCGCGAGATCAATAGGTCCTGGGTCTGAATCCCACGGAGCGTGACCGTGGATGAGCACTTTTGAGGAGTCCCATACTTTAACAAAACGGCCGTCCAGGACTTAACTAATGACAAAAAACAAACAAACAAGTCTAAATTTCAATATATCTAAAAATAAGCACATCAAAGGGAAACTGTTTTCGTGAACATTGAGATTTTTAAAATCTGATTTTCAAAATCTTTGAAAATAATATTTTTTTTACTTGTGGCTTTGTATCATATCTTCCACCTTACCTTTGAATAATGAATAGGAAAGAGATATACTTCCATTTAGAATCTCATTAACCTGCATCTATAAGTTTACTTGGTCTTTCGGAACGGGTTACATTGTTTGGACAAAGAGAATTTTCGCTAAATGCTTTTGAGAATATTACCATATATGGGTTTTAAAAGGAAAGTGTAAAACAACTAATAGCTGAATTATTTATTTAAACACATACATATTGGTACAAAGGGGCACCAGACACATATGCACCACACAAAAAATATCTTTTAGAATCATTTAGATGGACAAACCATTAGGCTCTTTGGAAATACAAATAGAGAATTTGTATTTTTCATCAATCCAATACAAATCTATTTCTTCACATAAACGTTTGACTACTTATAAGTAAGCGAACTGTTTACATAACATTTTTACATAATGCTAGTAAACGTTATGAACTATTTGCCAACTGTATAAATAATCACCTAAAAAGAAAGACCATTTAATAGGAGTGTTGGTGATGGTGATTCCATCTATTAATCAGTTACATAAATATTACTGGAATAACAGCAACTATAGAGCTTATCTAATAGTGACACTGACAGTTCACTCGTCCAATGGCAAAAGGACTCAATATTTATTCATATTAATTTATTTATATTTTCCTTCATTGTTTTCTAAACAAATTGTAAGTTTAAATAGTTCGCGATCTATTTCTTATTATGGTCAATTATCGCATATGAATAAGTAATTTATTAGGGATTCTCACAGTAATAAATTAAATTGCATACTCATATGCTTTGGTTGTTTATTTTACAACTATAAAAGTAATGCAATCATTTTTCTCAGTTTAGATTTGTTTAAACGGAATAAATATTAAGTCTTTTTTGAACCCAGGTGCAACTAATTAAAGCTTGCAAATTATAGTAATAATGAATACTGAAAAGCTCAAAATACATTGCCCCCAGTGCCCTGGTATGGCCGAGAGTGGGGAGAGTCCACTCTCCCTCTCGAAACGCTCTCACATGACCACGCGTATATAACCTCTGCCAGGGAAGTCCTACTCACTACCTTCTCGCAGCGGGGGGTGTCGTTTACGAAAATGAGAGGAAGAAAAGCGAGTGTCTGTCGTTTTCACTGGTTCGGTTGACACGGAAAGTCCACATAGGGGAGTTGGAAAACCCTGATTCCAAACCTTTGGTGCATATGGGCTCCATCCAGTAAACTGAGGGAGCAAATGGCGAATGAATCAGTCGTTGGTCACCGGCTACCATGGGACTGCATCTCCTTACGACGCTCCACTGCCTTGTAGATCAGATATTTTGGTCGAAGGCTCGGTTTGGGCACCCTGGTAGTATTACAACCCTCACACAAAACAAATTAGATTTGTGCGGCACATATGTATCTGGTGTCCAACATTGCAGTTGTTGGTACATTTTCTTTCTTATATATGCTTTGAAGAAATAACAGATGATTACATAGTCATTCATACACCTAATACATAAAATAGATGTAAACGATAGTTTGCCTAGTTGAATTTGTTGAAAGGTTTCGTAGCTGAATATTAACACCAGATATACTGATTATTGAAAAGCGTTTATAAAATATTCTTTAAAAAATAATTCTGATTTCAATGTATGTTGATGAGAAATTTATTCTAGCATTACATCACTAATTCTGAGAATTCATTACTGTAAAAAAATTTATAGCAATGAATAAGGCATTTATAACGACTGATATTAACATGATTCTTAAGAGTAAGTACATGAAACAATATGGTATTTACAATGGTGAAATCAATAAACTAATTTTTATTTAAATTCATTCAGTATTGTTTATTTGAATCATCCCATCGATTTGTTAGGACTGCAACTGGTCAGTCTCTAATTGGTATATGTGCATACTGTGCGTATTGCTTCGATATAGCCTTAATTCACAAGCATGGTGAGCAGTGAAGGATAGTAGATAGCAGTGGAATCCAGGAAGCGCGTTTCGTCCTATTTGAAGCGAGGGTACTGGGTTCGAGTCCCAGAGGGAACATCAACTCTGAGATGCAGGTACATCCAGCTGACGAGTCCCAACTAGGACGAAACGCGCGTCCTGGATTCCACTGCTAGCCACTATCCATCTCTGCTTACCATAATTTTGTTTTACTTTCTTTTACATTTTTACTTGCAAATATTTCAGTAGTATATAAGTATTTCATTCATTAATCTGTTACGAGTAACAGATAAATAAGTTTTATAAATGATTAGTATGGAAATCGAATTCATTTCTAAAATCTGATATATTAAACTTATACATCAAGATAATGAGATGATAATTACTAATCTTATCTCAAGTACTGGTCAGAATCTGAGTATTTAGGAACTAAATATAACAGCCAGATTGACGTTATTCGATATTTTGATTGATCTCATATGCTTAAATTTAGTCTGTTTATATGTAACTTGAATAGTTTATATGTGACTTCCATGGCTGGAATATTAAAGACAGACTTGATCTATTGTGGTAGCATATATTTCAATATCATTAGAATTATCGAGGTAAGTGCGAAGAAA